CAAGTTTTGCTAGTAACACCACCACCTGAGATACCACCACCAGTCATACCAGTTATACCTATTGTTGAGGAATCCCCAGAGGTTACACCAGGAGTTACACCACACCCAACTATCGGTAGGGCTGCAGAGCAGGAGGCTTAGCTCTGTTTGGTGGAGAGATAAAAGAAGATGAGGGCACCAAAGTTCCAGGGATCATCAGATTCACTTACAGCCCACAAGTGGAAAGAAGATGTAGGAGATTCCTCAGGGACAGATTGTCACGTACACCGTAGAGCCTTTAGCGTAACAGTCCGTAGCTTCAGGTAGAGTTTATGCAGTCATATCACGTGATCACGATGCGAGTAGGGCTGTTGTAGAAGGTATGTTCCTTGTGAACACCTTCCCAGCCCGTATTCATTTTGATTCAGGAGCTTCGCATTCTTTCATATCATATGCTTTCATGCATAGACTTTAGCTTGTAGCACAACCTCTAGATATTCCTTTGTTAGTTTCCACCCCTCTAGATGATGTGTCGCTTCTAGAGAGCATTAGTAGGAGATGTGTGATCAGCATAGATGAGTCCGAGTTCGTGGTCGATTTGATCGTCCTACGTATGTCCGAGTTCGATGTGATTCTCGGTATGGATTGTCTTTCCTCCTATTATGTCAGTATCGACTATTTTTCAAAAAAATCAGCTTGCAAGCGTTCGATGGGACCAAGTTAGTTGTAGCGACCTCACAGGGCAACTAGTTTGCGGAGTGATTTCTGGCATACGTCGATGAGGTGTAGTTTCGAGATCAGGGTGCAGATTTGAGCGAGACTAGAGTCGTCTTAGAGTATCAGGATGTCTTTTTGGATATACATGTATTACCTCTAGTGAGAGAGGTTGATTTCTACATCAAGTTACAGTCGGGCACAACACCGATCTCCTGTGCACCTTATCGTATGACACCTGCTGAGATGAGAGAGCTACAAATTTAGCTAGATGAGCTATTGTCTTAGGGTTTTATTCACCAGAGTCACTCTCAGTGGGGAGTATCGGTCCTCTTCGTGAAAAAGAAGGACGACAGCATGCGTTTGTGTATCGATTATCGTGAGTTGAATAAGATCACCATCCGGAACAGGTATCCACTACCAAGGATTAATGACTTATTCGACCAGTTGCAAAGAGTGTAGTGTTTCTCGAAGATTGATCTTCATTCTGGTTATCATCAGTTATGGGTTCGGGAGATGGATATTTCCAAGACCGTCTTTCTGACTCGATATGGGTCTTTCAAGTTCTTCTCATGCCATTTGGGCTGACCAATACACCCGCAGTATTCATAAATTTGATAAACCGGGTTTTTCATCTATACTTGGACCAGTTCGTGATCGTGTTTATTGACAACATCCTTATTTACTCAAAATCGGAGGCCGAGCATGAGTATTTACATACATAGTATAGTTGGGTGGTGAGAGATTGTAACCTTGAGTTGTGCTTTCATTGTGTTCTCATCTATTGTAGAGAACAAATTTATATTTGTTACATTGTGAGTGTTGTAAGGTTTTTGGTGAGCTAGAAACCGAGTGTGTAGTGAGGTTTTCGGTGAGCTAGAAACCGAGTGTGTAGTGAGGTTTTCGGTGAGCTAGAAACCGAGTGTGAGGAGTGACGTTGATCGGTGAGCGTTGAAAACCGATACTGTGAGGTGTAAACGTTATTCGGGTGAACGTAGAAAACCCGGTTGATAGTGGATTTCTCCCCGGGAGTGGGGAGCGGAGACGTAGGACGGAAGGTCCGAACTCCGTGATCATATCTTGTGTTTGAGTGTGCTTTGGCGTTTATTTATACTTGTGTTTATAATTCTTGTTGCCATTGTCATTAGCTCATCATTTATATGATCCACTATCTAGTTCATATTGTTTACCCTTGTGTTAGTTTATATATCCTTACATATATATATATGTATACCTCTTTGCTAGGATATATCACCTTGTGTATATTGCATATTCTTGCACATAACCCTTTGTACACCTATAGTGCTGCCACTAGCAGATACACCGACTTCTACACCACTACCACTAGCTGTTAATAGGACCACAGAGGAAGAAGTTTGGCTCAGTTTGGCTCCGTTTGGTGGAGAGATACCAGAAGATGAGGGCACCAGAGTTTCATGGCACATCGGATTCACTTGCAACGCACAAGTGGAAGGAAGATGTAGGTAACATTTTTGATATGCTTAATGTGGACACTGTACAGAAGGAGAGGCTAGCAGCTTTCAGCCTCAAGGGCGACACCGAAGGGTGGTACCGACTTCAGTTCACTCCAGAGCACGGGATGACGCTTAGCTGGGAAGACTTCATTTATTTATTTGATGAGCAGTATGTGTCGATAGTAATAAAAGCCAGGAAGGAGTTGGAGCTAGCCCGATTAGAGCAGGGAGATATGTCTGTAGCAGATTATGAGAACAAGTTTGTGGGATTGCTCAGGTTTACGTGCATGTGGCAGACTGGAGAGCGTCTAGCACAGATGTTTCTAATGGGACTTCACCCGAGCTTACACCGCTATTAAGTGTCTCGGCGTTTTCACTCAATGCAGGAGGTTGCCGATGCCGCTATATCACAAGAGACAAATACGGCTATGTTCCAGAAAGGTAAGGAAAGGAATGCTAAAGCAGGGCAGATTAGAG